TCTCAAACAGTTTCTTCTCTAAAGTATTAAAAAAAGAAAAAAAAAAAAACCGACAACTCTGGAGCAATACAAAAGATCTTCAGCTGACTTTTAGGAGCAAACAACATATGCTCTTGAACATCTGTGCTTTTCCCAAGCTATTTTTTTCCCATTATTGTCAAGAGAAAAGAAGTTGAGTAGAATCCTTCTCCACAGAGGCACAAGTCTATAATACTCCCTGTTGATTACATATAAAAGACACAAAATATTAGTTTATTAAAAGCAGCTTCAACCATTGCTGTACAAAGCAGTTTTCCGATGCAACAGATTTATGAAGTAACAGCTGAAAGGTATGCAGATCACAAGATACATGACAAATGTACTTTATTACATGGATCAGAAATACCATATGTACTAGCAGTTACTGTACAATGATACACAACACCCAACTAAGACCATTTAAAGGTTTTGCCAATATTGAAAACTATAAAGACACAATGTGAGAGTGAGAAAGTGTTTCATAAGATAGCATAATGCCAATACAATTCATCACTTTAGGAAATAAAATACATTCTGCATATTATAGACTTAATGTATTATAAAGCAATGCCTTCCTTTAAATTAAAATTTGAAGGACTTTACCCCATTCATTGTTTAAAGCAGATGTTTATAACATTTTTCTGTACTTTTAAAGTGGAACTTAGTGGAATAAATAACAGACAACGATATTAAGAAAATAAAAGAGATTTCAGATTCTGGTATTTCCACCAAAAAGATACTTGAGTCTACAATCATGCAGTGTACAATTCATTCCCATCATGACAGCTTCCTAGAGGCATTTTTTGGCTGGAAAGGACTTTAACAGAGTTCATCCCAACAAGTACAATGTTTAAATTCATTCTGCTACATCCCAAGAGGCTGCTCAGCCTTGGCTTAATGGGTAGTACACCCAAGACTGCTAACACCTCCCAGTATCTTCCAATGAATGTCTTGGTTAGAAGGTTCCTTCTTAAATTGAATCAAAGTCTGGCTCCCTGTAGCATGCCCTCATAGGTATTCAGTCTACATTTTAGGATAGCCTTACTCACTGCATAACAGTTGCATGATTTGGGGCAAGTTTATATATGTCTTTAAACTGTTGATCTGGAAATAGGGATAATAAGAGCATTGATCTCCTGGCCTTGTTTTAAGGATTAAATATTAGCAGAGTAAACATTCTCTAAATGTTGGCTGTTGTTATTTTTACTACCATCCTACCAATGAGTTTTATTGCTCCCCTGTTCTAAAACACATGCAGAAGACTCTTGACATTCAACTATGTAAACTTTAGAATTTTTTTGGTAAGCAGGCTCAGACCTGGCCCTGGAACTCCTGGCTGCCTGAAGGACCTCTGGGAACAACAGCCCCCTCCTCATCCTCAAATGCTTCCTTGCATTTGTGTTTTAAATATGCTGGCAAATACAGGGGAAAATAGTTAAATTTTGGATCACTCTGCCAGGTGGTGTCAGAAGTGAGTCACTTAATAAGATTAGCTAAGAACCAAATACCTGCATTTCCTTTGTATTTATTTATTTGGCAGTTCTTTGAGGTCTCTTTAGATCCTGCCCACTCCCCCCACTCCCAATTTTATTTTGTGGCCAGCACTTTAGTTTAAATTACATATCACTGTCCATCATAACCACCAGTGCCATTCAGATATTTAAATCAAGTCATTTGCAGCCAGTTATTTTTCCTTCTGTAACTCCTAAAAACTTATATCCTAGGCCGGCGCCCCGGCTCACTAGGCTAATCCTCCACCTTGCGGTACCGGCACACCGGGTTCTAGTCCCAGTCGGGGCGCCGGATTCTGTCCCGGTTGCCCCTCTTCCAGGCCAGCTCTCTGCTGTGGCCAGGGAGTGCAGTGGAGGATGGCCCAAGTCCTTGGGCCCTGCACCCCATGAGAGACCAGAAGCACCTGGCTCTTGCCATCGGATCAGCGCGGTGCGCCGGCCGCAGCGGCCATTGGAGGGTGAACCAGCGGTAAAAGGAAGACCTTTCTCTCTCTCTCACTGTCCACTCTGCCTGTCAAAAAAAAAAACAAAAACAAAAAAAAAAACTTATATCCTAGATATAACTTTTGGAAACAACCAAAAAATTGATTTGAGGCTTTATAAATGATTGCTCTTCTAAAACTTGTTTTTTAGCTGATCATCATCAATCCGTCACAAGTTGAACCAAAAAAATAGGCATTCTACCCTAAAATTACCTTTCTCTCTTAGCAAGTCTATACATCCTTGAGGAGGAGGATGGCATGACAAGAACAGGCTCTGGATCACACTGCCTGAAGTGAATCCCAGCCTTCCTAGATTTAGTTACGACGTCTGTGCGCGTCAATTTCCCCAAATGCAAATAGAAATACTAGTACCAAACTCATAGGATTCTTGGGTGGACTAAATGAATTAATAGTTTAAGTAATTTTGATCATCCTTATTCTAATAATAAATTTGACATTTTTAAAAAGCAAAACTAAAACATTACATTTAATTCCTAATATGATGTAGTTCAATCGAATTTCAAAATGATTTGGTGCTTAGCTTGAGCTCCATCTGGTGGTTTTTTTAGCAATCCTCTGGAAAATATTAGTCAAAATGACAAATTTCAAAAAGATAAGCTAATTATTTAGAAAACTAAAGGACTATGTTATACTTAATTTATAATTTTGAAGAATAAAATGACAGAGAAGTGATCATAATACCCCTGTACCAGCTTTAGAAATGCCAATTTAAATTTCCTGCCAAAATTCAGAGGTGGGAAGAATCTTGCAGGAGGTATAACTTGAGAATTCAAGTGTGTTAGAGGCTACTCACAATAGAGTGCAAAGGAATTTCCCTTTAATTGCCATCTTTCCAAAGGCCATCTGACACTTGAGAAGTTTTTTGGTAGCAGTGCTTGATTTTTTGTTATCAAGTTAAATCATAAACAAATTTCATGACAAACAAGCAAATGAACATTCTATCAGAGAGGCCCTGGATGAGCTACTACCATTGGAGTGGAATTAGAGATTGAGTAATAAAAATGCGAACAAATTCCTGCAAATAGTCTCTTAAAGGAAATCTGGTTAAAAAACATGACAATGCTGGGAAAAGTTATATAAACATTTGGTGCATCACTGATACAGATTTGGTTATCACTGATACAGACAATTCCTGGGATGAAATAAGTCAACAAGTATACTTACAATGATTTTGTCAGTGGTGTAACATTTGCAGCTTTTCATTTCGTGAATAAACATTTACATATCCACTTTCTCCTCACAAACTGTTGTTATTCACAATTCTACCAAAATGCAACAAAGGCCATGAACCAATGATATCCACCTTTCATCTCATCTTTCTTAGCTTAAAACTGACTTTAAATATTTTAAACTTACCCACAAGTTTTTAATGAATTTTTGAGTAAACTAAGATAAACCTTACTATATTAAAATAGTTATATATAAGATATTTTGGTCAACTTTGCACTGCACATACAATGGCGGTTCTATAAGATAGTGTCATCTGGTGACATCACAGCCATCTGTGTAAGTACACTGATGTTCCTATGACAAAATTGCCTAACGTATTTCTCAGAATGGATCCCTGTCCTAAAACAATGCATGACTCTAATTCCAACATATTACTGGCAATGTTACGGATCCTGACCTCCTGAAAGATGTGGGTCATGTCCTATTCATCTCCATGTTGTGACCCTCCAGCCTACTGGTACGCTTGGCAGTTTGTGATCTCACATCCAAGTGACCTTATTGTAATACATTGCACCGTTGTTTTCCTGTGAAGTTAGCATCTTTTTCTGGGCAGATGCAGTTTCTGCCCCTAGAAAGTTGATAACCTTGTCTTGTTCTCTCATCCCTAGCACTTGGAAGTCTCCAGCACATAGGAGACACTCAATAAATATTTGTTCCAATGAAAATGAGATTATAGTGAAATTTGAGGGAACACAATTCTGCTTAACTAAAAGTAAATTTAGTCAGAGTGCAATTAGCAAAATAGCAAGACAGATTTAACTAAAAATCATTTCATTATACTGGGCTTTCTTGTATCTTTACTTTTTGGAAAACTAGTTCAGTCAAGGCTGAACAGGTTTCTCTACTGCTAAATCTGTATGGGACTATACTAACCTAAAATCTTGTGAATCTTCAAGTATGTAGTATTTCTCACATTGATAATTTTTTTTAACCATGCATCTGGAGAAACTTGATTCAGAAAAAAATACTCTGGGAAATACTGTATATTAGGCCATATAATATCAAAATATTAAATGAATCAGATACTCTAATCTAAAAAGCATGCTGACTTGTACATGCTAATTCTACCTAAAATTAAGATTTCTGAAAATAACTGAAAAATTTGGTCTTCTCTACTAGTAAAGTATCTTAACCATATAAGGAAAAGATCAAACTCCAAGATCTATACCCAAAGTATTTTTATTCTGAATTATACAAAACCAAAACTCCAAAGAAGTAATATTCATAAAATAGTTTTTTTTTTTTTTAAGATTTATTTATTTGAAAGACAGAGTTAGAGAGAGAGGCAAGGGCAGACAGAGTCTTCCATCCGTTGATTCACTCCACAAATGGCTGCAATGGCCAGAGGTAGGCTGATCTGAATGCAGGACCCAGGAGCTTCCTCCAGGCCTCCCACGTGGGTACAGGGGCCCAAGGACTTGGGCCATCCTCCACTGCTTTCCCAGGGCATAGCAGAGCTGGACAGGAAGTGGAGTAGCCAGGACTAGAAGCAGCATCCATATGGGATGTTGGCCCTGAAGGCACCAGCCCCCACTGTTTTATTTTTAAATATGCTTATATAACAGCTTTCTTTAAATCTGAGTTTATACAAATTTGTCAGTAATAATTCATTTTACCTTTACTGATTATAATTACCAAGTTTTAAGAACAACCATAACCATATTATTACTTGACAGCATTTTGATGTCTGATAATACCTAGATATTAAGGCAGCATCCAATTAAAATACAAATACAGCTTTCATTCACCACAGAAAATATTTTATTTTAGTTCTCCTAAAAAATCTGAGGAGTAACACTGGGTCTGAATTGAAGGGGGAAAAGGCCAACTTAAAACACAAAAAGAAATAGTCTTCATTTGGTGAGAGTTGAAAGCAAAGCACACATTCTTGCCAAACAACTGTCCTGTGGGGCCTTTTTCAAGTTTAGAATGAGAGTCTCTCTACCACGCCAGGCCCTTCGCTGCCTTCACTGCTTTTGCTTTGCTCTTTCCCTTTCCTTTCTCTCTCTTTGCCTTCAGCCTTTTTCTTTGTCTCTGGTTCATCCATATGGGGTACTGTCCATGTTGATCTAGAAGAGTCTTTCTGTTTCTCTTAATTTCAGTCTCCATTTTCATGTCATCTGAATTAAAAAAAAATAACTATTAATACTCATGCATAAAAAAATCCCTATGAAAGCATATTAATAAACTGAGAACATCATCAGAAGTGATAGTGGGGCTGGCGCTGTGGCATAGCAGGTAAAGCTGCTGGCATCCCATAGGGGCTCATGTCAAGGCTGCTCCACTTCCAATCCAGCTCTGCTACAGCCTGGGAAAGCAGTAGAAGATGGCCCAAGTCCTTGGTGCCCATATAGGCCCTAATCAATGATCATTTCTAACGGACTCAATGGAGCACTCAGCAGCATAGTTGAGATGAAAGAGGCAGACAGACAACAAAGGAGGAAGACTTGGTCACAACCAGAGGCTGCTCCATGTTTCCTATCCAGATTATACTAGAGATCCAGTTCTGCTGCTAAGAGGCTTGGCAGAAAGCTCAGTGCAGCTATGCTGTGGTGCACTGTCATCACCCTGAACTGCTGTAAAGGACAGGTCCAGAATGTCCTCCCTGGGACTGTTCCATGACACAAGGTCTTTTATTATATTAGATATTTATCACTGTTCCCACAGTGCCTAGAATTGTGCCTGGAGTATAACAGTCACTCAATAACTAACAGGTAGATGATGATTTTAGATGATGTACTAGGTTCTGGGCATGCAGCAGTCCATATAAGCTCCTTGCCTTCATGGAGTTTACACTGTTCTGCTGAGGGGAGAATAAAAAGCAAAAAGAGAATTTCATCCAGTGGTAAGTGATTTTTTTAAGAAGGCTAGCAGGACCAGATCAAGTAAGACCTAGATTCTATTATGTACATGGAAAGACAATGAGAGGCTGTAAGCATGAAAGACAAATAAATCTGACTTATATTCTAGACAGATCACATTGATAATATGTAGAAAATGAATCAGAAGGAAGCAGGGGCTGGTATGGGCAAGAGTTGATGGTGATTTGCATTAAGGTGAAAGCATTAAAGCAGGAAGAAAATAGGTAAATTTCCTAATGCATTTTTGGTAGTTTGGATGTGGGGAATAAAGGAAAGATGGGTCAAGAATGACCAGGTCTGTGGCTAAGAAATCAGGCAGCTGGGGGTTAGTGTTATGGCCTAGTGGGTTAAGTTGCTACTTGTGACACTGACATCCTATGAGGGCCGGTTCAAGTCCTGGCTGCTTCACTCTGATTCATTTCCTCGCTAATAATGCACCTGGGAAAGTGGAAGACAGCCCAAGTACTTGGGTCCCTGCACCCACATGGGAGACCAGGATGAAGCTCCTGGCTTTGGCCTGGCTCTACCCTGGCTGCTGTGGTCATTTCGGAAGTGAACCAGTAGATGGAAGATTCTCTCTGTAACTCTACTTTTCAAATAAAATAAATCTTAAAAAAAAAAAAAAAAAAGGAAAAGAAAGAAATCAGGGCCAGCACTGTGGCTTAGTGGGTAAAGCTGCAGCCAGCACTGCCAGCATCCCATATGGGTGCCAGTTCAGGTCCTGGCTGCTCCACTTCCCATCCAGCTCTCTGCTATGGCCTGGGAAAGCAGTAGAAGATGGCCCAAGTCCTTGGGCCTCTGTACCCATGCAGGAGACCTAGAAGAAGCTCCTGGCTCCTGGCTTTGCATTGGCGCAGCTCTGGCTGTTGCGGCCACCTGGGAAGTAAACAAGTGGATGGAAGAACTCCTTCTCTCTCTCTCTCTCTCTCTCTCTCTCTCTGCCTCTGTAATTCTACCTTTCAAATAAGTAAATAAAAATCTTAAAAAAAAAAAAAAAGAAATCAAGCAGTTCAAAGAGTAAAAATAACAAGAAACATGAACTTGAAGGCAGAAAAGAATCCTAAGGAAAACAGTTTACCAAATGTGGAAGACTCCTCTATCCACAGTCTGATCCTCATTTAGCTCCCGGAACACTGCAAGAATGAGAGTATCCAGATATACCCTAAGCAGATTTGGTGTCCAGAATACATAAAGAATTCTTACACACTATTAATAAAAGTACAATCAACATATTTTTAAAAAGAGGAGGTGGTGGCAAAGTTCTTAAATATAATATTCTCAAATAAGGTATGCAAATGGTCAATAAGCATATGATAATATGTTCAATAGCATTATTCATTAGGAAAATGCAAATCAAAATCATAAAGAGATACTGCTTCATATCCACTGGGATGGCTCTAACAAGAAAAATGAAAAATAAGTGAGGATGTGTATCTCATACATTGCTGTCAGGAATGTAAAATAGTGTAGCTAGTAAAAGAGAGTAAGCAATAACTCACCATATGATCTAGCAAGTCCACTCATGTATATATCCAAAAGAATAGAAAAAACAAAAACTTGTACACAAATGTTCACAGCAGCACTATTCATAACAGCCAGAAGACAGAAGCAATCCAAATGCTTATCAACAGATGAAACGGAAAAATATATGAGACATATACATCAACTATTACTCAGCCTCAAAACGGAAGGTGTACAGGTTGAATATCCCTAATCTGGGAATCTGAAATCCAGACATTTGTGCTTGCCTGACACAAAGCTCAAGTGGTTTTGGATTTCAGACCATTTCAGATTTCAGATTTTTGAATTAAGAATGCTTAACCAGGGCCGGCGCCGTGGCTCAATAGGCTAATCCTCCACCTTGCGGCGCCGGCACACCGGGTTCTAGTCCCGGTCGGGGCGCCGGATTCTGTCCCGGTTGCCCCTCTTCCAGGCCAGCTCTCTGCTATGGCCAGGGAGTGCAGTGGAGGATGGCCCAGGTGCTTGGGCCCTGCACCCCATGGGAGACCAGGAAAAGCACCTGGATCCTGGCTCCTGCCAACGGATCAGCGCGGTGCGCCGGCTGCAGCGGCGGCCATTGGAGGGTGAACCAACGGCAAAGGAAGACCTTTCTCTCTCTATCTCTCTCTCTCACTGTCCACTCTGCCTGTCAAAAAAAAAAAAAAAAAAAAAAAAAAGAATGCTTAACCAATAAAGTTTATGTAAATAAACTAAAATCTGGAACACTTCTGATTCCAAGCATTTAGAGATACTTAACCTGTATTGATAAATGTTACAATGAGGATAAATTTCAAAAGCATTATGCTAAGTGAAAGGAGCCAGGCACAACACATCATATATTGTATTTCATTTATATGAAAAATCCATTGAGACAGAAAGTACTTTAGCAGTTGATAGAGACTGGGGCTTAGGAAAACAGAGATTGCTTAATGAGTTCAGGGTTTCCTTTGAGGGTGATGAAAATGTTTTGCAACTAGAACTGATATTTGCACACTATAAAATTACTAGATGCCAATGAACTGTATGGTTAGTTTTATGTTTCATGAATTTTGCCTTAGCAGCAAAAAAAAAAAAAAAAAAAAAAAAAAAGAGAGAGAGAGAGAGAGAACAAATGGGTAGGGATGGCATGCATGTGAGGAAATGGAAGTAACAACCGAAGGCAAGTATTTCAACAATTTAAGGACCTGAAATAGGTACTTGACTAGTAATTAAGACCTCTACAATCCACACCAGAGTGCTGGGATTCAGTTCCAGGAAGATTCTGAGAGACAGAGTAAGTAACTGAGTTCCTGCCGCTCATGTGTTCCTGGCTTTGGACAGGTCCAGCCCAAGCCAATGCAGGCATCTGGGGGAGTGAACCAATGGAAGGAGCTTTATTTCTCTGCTTCTCAAAACCTTTTTTTTTTTTTAATTTTTTTATTTTTCTGACAGGCAGAGTGGACAGTGAGAGACAGAGAGAGAAAAAGGTCTTCCTTTTCCGTTGGTTCACCCCACAAATGGCCGTTCTGGTGGCGCGCTGCGGCCCGGTGCACCGTGCTGATCTGAAGCCAGGAGCCAGGTGCTTCTCCTGGTCTCCCATGTGGGTGCAGGGCCCAAGCACTTGGGCCATCCTCCACTGCCCTCCCGGGCCACAGCAGAGAGCTGGCCTGGAAGTTTCAAGGAGAAATGAAATACATCAGCAGATTGAGAGAAATGTGGACTCAAGGAAGAATTTTTCTTTCCTTTTTCAGTGGGACTTCTGAGAACATATATGGACTGACCCAGCAGAGGAGATTGATAAGGAAGATGCTGTGCCAAATGCAAAGCGGAAAATGATTCAAAACATCAATCAAGAAATTAAGTGTTTGAGGGACTGCTAACAAAAGAAGGAAGAGACTGAAATTCTTACAGACTTGGGTAGTAGGAAGATGAAGATTCATTGGCCCTATTTTTCAAAAAAGCTAAAGTAAAAAGCTTCCTATAATTTTTACTTGGTGGAGTGGGAGAAGGATAGAATGGGAAGAGAAAATTAAAAATGGTCATTTGGAAGAATGGGAACAGAAATTTCTAGGATTGAAAGGTTCAGGAATGCTGCTATCTTCCTTGACCATAAGATACCTAACATACACTTCCATTTTTAGAGTATGTATGTTAGGAGTGCTTAATTTAGTTTGCTGCCTTATTGGTCCATTAGGATGTAAAAACCAGTGACCCTTTCCTTCTGCTGAAACCAGCTTTACAGACAGTTTCCAACTTCACACTCTGATTACAACACTGAGGTCCCTAGGATCTGTCAAAACCAAGTAAGATGAAACCTTGTGACTTTCAGAATATATAGGGGTCTATGACTCACAGAGGGAACTAAACTTTACAAGAGTAAAATGAAGTGCTTTCTATCCTGTCTACAACCTTACTGAATTGTGAACTGTCTCAACCAGGACATGTTGAGGTTCGTCTATTCCTGAGACACTCAGGCTATTGGATAAGTACCAAAGACCAACCCTGAACAATCCAAAACATGCCTATTCAAATGGACTAGCTTCAGAATGGTTTAGCATACAATTTGTAGTAGCACCAAGCCTTCAAAAAATAAAAATGTGGTATGGCAGATTTGCAGGAAAGTTGGTATGGGAATAGTAGAGGACAGCTTTAAAGGGAAAAAGAGGGGCTGGCAATATGGTACAGTTGGCTAAGCCGCTGCTTGCAACTCTGGCATCCCACATCAAGCACTGGTATGGCTGTTCGGTTCCCAACCCAGCTTCCTGCTAACACACCTAGGAAAGCAGAGGAAGATGGCTCAAGAGCCTAGGCCCCTGCCATCCATGTGGGAGACTAGGATAGAGTTCCTGGTACATGGCACGGCCTTGATGTCATGTGGCCATCTGAGAAAAGAACCAGTAGAGAGATCTTTCTCTCACACTGTCTCTATGCCTTTCCATAAATAAGTAAAAATCTTAAAAAAAAAAAAAAAAAAAGCAACACATAAACTCACCTTTTTCATCTGTCACCTCACATTCCATTTTCTCTTGGTAATGTTTGGGTACTACCACAGTTGCTATCTCTTTAACATCTTTCATGACAACATCACTGTCTAGTTTGAGAATACTTTTAAGTCTGCTCAGCTCCTTTGGAGCATTCTTTTTTCTCTTTTCAGCACGCATCTTCCTTTTCCACTTACTCCGTAAGCTTTTGGCCATGTTTTACCTAGAAGTTAACAAAAACATACATTCAAAAGTAAATACGGACTATTTTTTTAAAAAAAGGTACGTTCTTAGGAAACCAGGCCAACAGATATCACTACCAGACAGGAACCAGTGGAAGGTAAAGCTCTTCAGGATTTATGAGGTCTTAGTGTGCAAGTTTTGGGAGGATCAACGTGACACAAACAGCCATTAAAAACTCAACAGCATATCTAACAGCCTTTCTTAGAATTCTTCAATGACCTTCTCCCTCATATATTTCACACCTACAAGGTCACTTATGATCTGCCTACTTCAATTCCATCTCCTCTAACTCCCCATTCCCACACACATCTGCAAGCTCCAATTACATCTGAAACAAGTCCAAACTGCGTCCACGTCGGTGCCTTCACATGTGCTGTTGCTGTCGCCGGGTACTGCTCTTCCCAAAGCTTGCTCTGACGCCCGAGTTCCCTCCTTGTAAATTCAGGCTGCACCCTGAGACACACACACACACACACACACACACACCCACCCCCCACCGCCGCCGCACCGTCACTCCCACTGCACTTCAGGCTCAAGTCGGAGCAGCGAAGTAGTCTTGTTCGCCGTTCGTCCCCCAGTGCACAGCGCTTTGCATTCAGTACAAGTTATACAAAAGCTGTTGAATAGATGGCTAGTCTAGTAACTTTTTGAACGCCAGCAATCACAAACTCAAATGTTTCCTTGTCTACAATAAACTGAACCCTGCCAAGAGCCAAGAATAGAGGGCCCAAGTGAACCCGAGCATCCTTGACCGACGACGGAGGTCTGCACTTTTCACAATTTCGGGAGGCCAGAGGGCCGCCCCAAGATCGTGGAGGCCCTTCGCCTTGGATGGAGGTCCGCAACTCCAAACCAGAGATCAAGTTTTGTCCCAAAGCTGCCAACGCTTGCCACGAAACTCTCTAAGGGCCCACAGTTCCACGGCCCACAGGATCTAGCAGCCCCCAAACTCACCGAAAAACTTCCAGACGCTCACGCCACAAGCTGATCACGCCGACCGGAAGTCCTGAACTTCCGCCTTCCGGACTGCGCCGACGTGGGGCGGGCGCACTGCACGAAGGGAGCCAATTGGTCCTGGACGGTGTTGAGAGGCGGGTCTTTGGGAGCCTGGGGTGACGCGCTTCCTGCCTTTGGGGTGAGTAAGGGTGGAGCTAGAAGCTTGACTGGTTGCTTGCGGGTTTAGAAGTCGGATTTGGAGAATGCAGAGTAGCGTCCTGGGCGAGAGGGGCGGCAGTGGGTCAGCCTCACAGACGTGGGCGGGGTAACTTGAGACTCAGGCGGGGAGTTCGAAGGCCACTTTCTTTCTTTCTTTTTTTTTTAAGCTTTACTTATTTATTTGAAAGAGTTTCAGAGAAGCAGAGAGAGAGGTCTTCCATCCACTAGTTCACTCATCAGATGGCCGCAAACGGCGGGAGCTGGGCCCATCTGAAGCCAGGAGCTTCTTCCAGGTCTCCCACGTGGGTGCAGGGGCCCAAGGACTTGGGCCATCTTCTGCTGCTTTCCCAGGCCATAGCAGAGAGCCAGATTGGACAGGACAGGAACCGGCGCACATATGCCATGCGGCACTGCAGGGAGCCCTACCTCCTACGCCCACTTTCAGATGTCAGGCCCGCCTCACCATTCACAGGATCTTAGGGATTGTCTTAGATTGAGTTTCCGAGATCACGTGTTCTTTCACAGGGCCTGTTAACAACTTTTTTTGCAACCTGTAGATTTTCCCATCAGGAGTGATGATCTCTTAGATGTACACACTTGTCAGAACGTATCAAATTACACTGTTAAGTATGTGTAATCTATGGTGTGTCAGTTATGTGCCAATGCTATTGCCTAAACTAAAAACAAGTTCCCATCCCAAAGAAGATGGGAAAAATGTTGCTTCAGTCCAACCAGTGTTTACCTTTCTGATCACTTCCATAGACAGAATGCTAAACCAAGGCTAACTGTTTAGGTCAGGAACAACACCTATTTTGTGTAAGCTTCCAGTAGCATAAACTTTGCAACCAAACAAATCTGTGCCGTGTTCTTGGTTCAAACACTTGTGAATGGTACAGATGAGTAGTTGTCTTAGAACCTGTATTTCTTGTACCTAAAGTGAAGATAATACAATCTAATTGATCCTAGGTACATGATAAGATCTTAGCAAATGATAAACTCTTCACATTTTAGCTTCCAATATACACAGTGTTACCTGTAAGCAGTATTTTTCTAAAGATCTACAACATTATCAAAAACAAGAAGGGAATTGTCTTTACTGATGTCCTGGTTAATTCCCAGGTTTACTGGCTGCTGGTAAAGGAGAGTTCTTTGTGAAACAATTTGTGACTACCTTCTTTCTTTAAATTCTATCTCTTTAAATTCTATCTTTTAAGAAACTGCATTGTATGGAAATTACTGAATTCAGAATATAGGAAGTTTTTAAGAAAGACTGAAAAACTCATAATGTCTTATGAAAAATAAAAGCATGCCTGAGAAATCTGGTTTCTTTAAATGGGAAATTAAATTCTCAGAGCAATTGAATTTCTGTTTTACAAGTTAACCATCTACATGTACATAGTTTTTTTTTTGTTTTGTTTTTTTTTAAGATTTATTTGTGGGGAGCAACTCGGACTAGACTAAGTTAGTGGAATTAAGACTTATTCTATGCATCTGCTCTCCCACAATATGGCGCTGGGAGAGGAGTAAACAGCTTCTACGCAGCTGCCTCCAGTTCAACCAATAACCTGCAGGAGCTGATCCTGCTCCTGATTGCAGGAGAGCAGCGTACTCGGCGTGTGGGTAGCAGAGTTGGGATTGGTGGAAGAGGACTATAAAGGAGGAGAGAGACGGCATGCACCAGGAACATCTAAAGGGAACATCCGGATAACATCTGAGCAGCCCCCGAGAGAGCCGGCCGGCGGTGTGCCGCTCCCCCGCGGAAGTGGGGAAAGTGGCAGGGAGAGCCGCCCTTCCACGGAGGTGGAAGGATCGGCAGCCAACCCGGGGAGGACCAGCAGCAAACCCGGGAAGGGCCGAGCAGACAAAAGAACAGTGCAGGGTCTAGTATCGTTCCTCTGTGAAGAGGGGGAGCGACATTTATTTATTGTATTTAAAGTCAGAATTACAGGGAGAGAAGGCGGGAAGAGAGATTGTCCATCTTTCTGGCTCACTTCCCAAATAGCTACAATGGCTGGGGCTGTGCCAGACAGAAGCCAGGAGCGTGGAACTTCATCCTGGTGTCCCACGTGTGTGGCAGGGACCAGAGCACATCGGCTCTCTTCCTCACTCTCCCAGGCCCTTGAAGCAGGGAGATGGATCAGAAGCAGAGCAGTGGGGCCTTGAACTGGGCTCATAGAGGATGCCAGCATCACAGCTTAACCTCTGTGCCACATGCTGTCCCCATATATACTTAGTCTTTCAAATTAGAATTTAGCCACCTCTCCAAAGGTGACTTCATTTTAGAGAAAACTCACACTCAGATTGACCAAATCGCCTGTATCTTGCTTACCATAGCAAGGCTTTGTTTTTTAATTGATTGATTTATTTGGAAGTCAGTTACAGAGGAGAATCAGAGAGAGAGATCTTCCATCCTCTGGTTCACTCCCCCAAAAGGTTGCAATGGCCAGGGCTGGGCCAGGGGGAAGCCAGGAGCTTCATCTGGGTCTCCCATGTGGGTTCAGGTGTCCAAGCACTTGGGCTATCTTTGTTACTTTCTCAGGCACATTAGCAGGGATTGGAAGTGGAGCAGCTAGGAATTGAACCAGTGCTCATATGGGATACCGATGTCAGCAGGTTAAGCTGCTATGCCAAAATGCCAGACTTCAGGCCAAAACTTTTAATAAGAAAAGAAAGAATAACTTACCTGTTATGAAAATGTGGTGGTGGTACAATACATGTCACAATTTAACATTACTAAAGCTGAATCATGGAATGCACTATTTTAAAAAAGCTTTTTAACTTGTGTTTCCTACCAGTATGTATGTACAATTGTGAAATGGACCTAGTATATTGAAAAAATCCCTCATTCATACATTTGAGAATGTATAGACACTATATACAAAGATGAATAAGTGAAAGTGCTACATTCAGGAAATTTTAATTCCTGATTAAAAAAAAAAAAAAGGGCTTAAGGTCCAAACTGGACATTGCTGTGGCTCCTCACATAGTTGGATGGAGCTTATGGAATTAGAAACACTGGATAGCCCTGAATCCCTGACAGGAAGTCAGGTGTTTCCTCTTCTAAAAGACGTGCTATACGACTGGCACCACCAGAGAACAGAACCCCTGCAGTCAGGCCTCTCCTATGAAATTCTTGATGTGCATTATCACTTAGTGAGGAACAGGAAGAATTCTGGGAATCAGAAGGTGACTTCTGGTTGTCCAATTCCTAGACATTGGGGGACTTCAAACAAATCTCCACAAAGATAAAAGAAACATGCAAAAAGAGTTGTTAAGTTCTACTTCATCTTTAAAAAGGCCTGCAGCTGGCTGCTTACGCCACTTTTACCAGAACGGTATTAAGAGGACCAAAGCCATGCTTGAGGTTTGCAGGGAAGCAATGAAGATGTGTGCACAGAGCCCCCTGCACCTCCTTCCCCATACTACACTCAATAAATATGATAGTTCAGGCCGGCGCCGTGGCTCAATAGGCTAATCCTCCACCTTGCGGCGCCGGCACACCGGGTTCTAGTCCCGGTCGGGGCGCCGGATTCTGTCCCGGTTGCCCCTCTTCCAGGCCAGCTCTCTGCTATGGCCAGGGAGTGCAGTGGAGGATGGCCCAGGTGCTTGGGCCCTGCACCCCATGGGAGACCAGGAAAAGCACCTGGCTCCTGGCTCCTGGCTCCTGTCATCGGATCAGCGCGGTGCGCCGGCTGCAGCGGCGGCCATTGGAGGGTGAACCAACGGCAAAGGAAGACCTTTCTCTCTCTGTCTCTCTCTCACTGTCCACTCTGCCTGTCAAAATAAATAAATAAATAAATAAATAAATAAGATAGTTCCGATACTGCTCTTCTCTCATTTTCCTCCTACTTCTGCCTGTTGTTCCCTTGAATCCTGCTTGTTGCACTGTGCATGTTCTGCTTATTCAAGTTTTCAAACATTTCCTGAGTTTGCATATTTTCCCCTTTATTTGAGGTAAAACAATTGAAGTTGTATGTGCTCTTGGATCCAGTAACCCTTTTCTAGATGTATTCCCTATTTAGGCAAACTCTCATACACAGGGGGTTACAGAACACATAGCTGCACTCATTATAATAAAAAAGGAAGAGCCATACAAGATTCATTGACAGAAAAAATGTGTGAATAACTATGGCTCATTTAGAAAATATATTCTATACTGGTATTTTTCAAACTTTTTAAAAAAATTTATTTTTTTAAAGATTTTATTTATTTGAGAGGTATAGTTAGAGACAGTGAGAGGGAGAGACAGAGAGAAAGGTCTTCCTGGGGCTGGCACTGTGGTGGGGCGGGTTAACGCCCTGGCCTGAAGCACCGGCACCTCATTTGGGCGCTGGTTCAAGACCCGGCTCCTCTACTTCCAATCCAGCTCTCTGCTATGACCTGGGAAAGCAGTAGAAGATGGCCCAAGTGTTTGAGTGTTTGGGCCTCTGCTCCCACATGGGAGACCCAGAAGACGCTTCCTGGTTCCTGGAGTCAGATCGTCTCAGCTCTGGCCATTGCGGCTATCTGGGGAGTGAACCAGCAGATGGAAGATCTCTCTCTCTCTCTCTCTCTCTCTCTGCTTCTCCTCTCTCTGTGTAACTCTTTCTTTAAAAAAGAAAATGGGGCCAGCACTGTAGAGCAGCAGGTTAAAGCCCGGCCTGAAGTGCTGGCATCCCATATGGGCACCAATTCTAATCCCGGGTGCTCCTCTTCCGATCCAGCTCCGTGCTATGGCCTGGGATAGCAGAAGATGGCCCAAGTCCTTGGGCCCCTGCACCCACGTGGGAGACCCAGAGGAAGCTCCTGGCTCCTGGCTTCGGATCGGCGCCACTGCGGCCATCTGGAGAGTGAACCATCAGATGGAAGACCTCTCTGTATCTC